TAAGGGTGATACCGACTAAGAAACCTTCTGTGACCAAGATATACTGTCTTCCTGCCATGTTTAAGTTGCATATAGTGGGTGCCTTCTTCACATATCGGGCATGCTTTATGCCCCTTAACACTGTATCCAGACAAATTTCCATATGCTGGAAAGTCATTTATCGTGGTGAAGATCATGGCACGTAAATTGAAGGTCTCTTGTTTATATGCATCAAACACATCAACACCTTCCTCCCATAATTTCTTCAGATCCTCAATCAAAGGTGCCAAATACACATCAATATCGTTTCCCGGTTGTTTTGGCCCCGAGATCATCAAAGATAGCATGATATACTTTCTTTTCATACATAACCAAGGAGGCAAGTTGTAAATTACGAGGAGCACTGGCCAAGCACTGTGTGTGCTACTAAGATTACCATATGGGTTAATTCCATCCGTACAAAGCCCTAGCCGAAGGTTTCTTGGCTCGCCACCAAATTGAGGAAATTTTTGATCTATTGTTTTCCATTGAGGAGAATCTGCTGGGTGACGAAGCTTTCCATCACATATTTTCTCATCAAAATGCCATCTCAAGTTCTTTGCATCTGTGGCATTAGCAAATAGACGCTTAAATCGTGGTATTATTGGAAGATACCACAGAACCTTTAAAGGAGAACCTTTGGTCATCTCATTATAATCACCATCATCTTTCTTCATTTTGTATCTTGAAGTCCCACATTTAGGGCACTTATTCAACTCTTCATAATCATTTCTGAATAATATGCAGTCATTAGGACACGCATGTATCTTCTCATATTCCAAACCCATCGGACACAAAATCTTTTTTGCCTCATACATTCGTTTCGGAAGTGAATTCCCTTTGGGAAGAATATCACTCAGCAATTCAAGCAATTCCGTAAAACTAGCATCGGTCCAACCATTTCTTGCCTTCAAATTCATCAGTTTCAATACGGTTGTCAATCTTGTGTAATCATCTTTGCACCCCGGGTATAAAGGTGTCTCTGCATCACTACACAAAGTTTCAAAGGTGGAAGAAAACTGTGTAGAGGATTCAGACCTTATATCACGAAACATATCCGAAATTCTATCACCAAAGTCTTCATTCACAACCTTCTCATTTGCAGACAGTGTAGTCTTTCTAATTTCTCCATGCCATATCCAATTTGTATACCTCAAATTTATCCCATCACAGATAAGATGCTCTTTTATCTCAGAAATACTCCGTCGACTATTGTTTAAACATTTGACACAAGGACAATAGTACAATCCATCTCCTTTACTAGGGGCATTTCTCTGAGCAAACTCAAGAAATTTTTCAACCCCATCCTCATATTCCTTGCTAATTCTCCTAGCTTTCATCCAACTACGATCCATTGTTCTACAGATTATTTAAACAATACTTTACTATCAATCAAAATTCATAACGAAGGAAAAAAACACAAAATAACTAACAGATTATTTATCACTAAATTCTTATATTTATTACAAAAAATTATCAAAAATTCGAAATAAATATCAAAAAATTATAAAAAAAATTAAAAACTTCACAATTAATCAACTCCAAACATTTTAACATATTTCTAATACAGTATGTAAAAAGGAATTAAGGTTTTCTCACATCTAATGCCTACCAATTAACACCAATCAACGGTTCAACCACATAAAAATGCAAAATGAACAATAGAAGCTAACCACAATGTAAATCTAACAACCCATTTCATATATAACAGATTTTCATGGCTAAAACATTCAACAAACCAAGAAAAATTGAAAAGAATGAAAGAAGAGGATACTCACAGAGCAGAGAAGCTTCAAACGCGAAGTGAGGCGGCGGCGGACGGCGGTGGACGGCGGCAACGGACCGGTCTTCGGTTAGATAGTGGAGGGTACGACCGGATTTCAGTGGCGGACGGCGGCGGACGGAAATGGGAGGCGCGGTCGACCACGGCGGAGTGCGGCGCACGGCGGCAAGGCTCCAAGGGCTCAATGGAGGAGTTTAAACGGTGGGCTAGAGGCGGGAATGGCCGGTAATGGCAGTTTCACGGTGGTGGGGCAGAGGGGGACCACGGCGCACTGAAGAAATGAGAAAGAAAGTGGAAGAGTCGAGCGGGTTTCGGCGATAGAAGAACACACTTTCCACGGCGGTTTTATTAAGAACCGCCGTGGAAAGTAATAAACCTTTCAACTTATTTACAAAAATGCCACCGCGTTTTTTTCCACTTCGTTTTTCTGCTGAACCGCCGTTAGTTTGCGACGTTAAAGGTCTTTTTCCTAGTAGTGCGTGTACATAATATGAAATGTTATTTAGGGCCTGTTTGGGTATCATTTAAAACTATAGTTTGGAAGGCATAGCCATGATTTGGATCAGGTGATATCCAAACAGCCTCATAGAAAATGTCTCTGTCTTAGCATTTACTTAGCCTGGAACGGAGCAATACCCATGGTTGGTTGGATATTGTTATATCTCATATTTATATAAAAAATAATCGATTAATTTGAGTAGATTAAAAAATTAATTAAATTAGTTATTTGTAATAACTATATATATATGTATTAACTAAAATTACTACTGGATAAAACTTTTAATATATATAACTGTTACAAAAAATATTTTAAAAAAAATAAATAAATATGAGAGATAAAATATTAAATTATTTTTTATATCAAAGATATAACTTGTAGTATCTAGCATTTACTCATTGACGTACTCGATGACGTGCGTCTTCCTCTTCCAGCCTGTCGAATTAAGTGTGGAGAGTCTTGGTCGTCGTCGCTTTTCTAAATGCCCAAAACAAGAAAGTTCAAAAGATTTTTAAAAAAAATTACCAAAAAAAAAAATCCAGAATGTACAGTGATTCAACGGTGCTTACCAATGGCTCTTTACCTGCCATATTATTTTATTCAATATTTTGGTATTTTTGTGACATGCGGGTATATACACATAATTCATATACATACTTGTGCATACATATATTCTTTTTAACCTTATATATAAGCCACTTTTAACTAGTTTATGAGAAATAAGAAAATTGGTTACATTTAGTTAATATTTTATAAGAATTAAGATGCTAATCTACTTATGAAGTATTCTGTCATAAGTTTATAACACTATAGACTTTTTTTAAGTGTAAAAGTATACATGAAATTTTTAAAAGGATATAAAAATGTCATGACCGTGAAGTCAACTCACATTGACTGTTTAGTAAACATATAGATTAAGAAAATAATGCAAAAATACATATCAAGATTTTAAAATGCTACGAAAATACCACGATCTTGAGAACTTCATATATATTTTTATACCATTTTAAATTTTCATATGCATTTTTTATAATGTTTTTTGATTGACATATTTGTTAAACAGTGAACACCAGTTGACTTAATGGTTTGATAGTTTTGCACTATTTTAAAAATTTTATGTGTACTTAGATTCCCAAAAAAATTTAATAATGTCTCGTGCTCTTAGATGAATACTTCATAGATAGATTCATACTTTAATCCTATTTTAAAATCATCTCATCTTTTAAATATTATCTTTAATTAACCAACCTAAGTCAAACAATTTTATTTATCTATTCTGATATTGCTCTCCACTATAATTATACTTCTTAATATGAGGTCGTTGCTTAAAAATAGTTGCCTTGTAGTAGATTTTGTAAAATCACTTATAAATATGGAAGCCCGTGCTTATCTTTGGATGAAAAGAAAACTAGAAAAGAAAGAATACTAAAAAGAAAAAACCCCCAAAATATTTTTTTTACACTATTTTTTGAGCTTTTGTTTTTCAATATTTCTTCCCTCCTATTTTTCTTTTACATTTTTCTTTGTCAAACATAAAAATTAACTTACTAATAAAATGGAAATGAATACATTTTAGAAAATTGGGAATATGTGTGTATTCAAAATGATGCTAACCAATCAATTAGAGTTGAGTCTAGCAGAAAGGGTTAGCTTGTCACAAACGTGACAAACCAATGTCCAAATTTCTTTTAGGAAAAGTATCCATATTTAATGCCTAACAGTGTCCCAAATATGATTACTTTCAATGTGTGAATGATGCTAACTCTAACATCCGTCTTTTAACACCCAGAATACACATTTGGAAACATTAAAGTTTCGGTGAATCCATTGCAAGCCAGTAGATTAAAATTTTTAGTTAAAATTCTCATGTTATCATTCACTTGAAATTCCAGATTTTTAGGTTCAATTTTGATAAATCATAACTAATTCTAGAAAAATTATATCGAGACAGTTCATATTTCTATCTGAAGCTCTTTAAATCCTCTACATGGAAAAAATAATCATTGGCTCATTCCTTGCCCAATTCGTGCATTTTAGCACGTAAAGTTTACCATCCATTTGGTCAATTTGCTAATTTTCAAAATTCTAGGCTGATTTTGATTAACCGTAACTTCTAGTATACACATATAATTCAAGTGATCTAATACTTGTTTTAAAACTCTGGATATGTACTAATTACTCACCAAATTTTATAAACAAACTCGTTCATTTACTAAGGATTTGCTCTGTTTCAATTTAACTGCTCACTTAGGGGTACCTTATCCCCTTAACCTGTAATAACAAATCATAATAAATTCAATACATATGCAATACCAACCCAACATTGTATTAATCATTCTTATGCAGAATTATAGTCCATCATACATGCCAATAACGTTAGTTCCAATGCATATTACTAATTGGAACATATAATCTCATAATCACGTATCATTACATAACATAATACGCCTCTAGTCCTTAATATAGGATTTAATTGTCAAGTTAATTTTAGTCCTAAATATAAAATCGATTTTTCATATTTATTAATTTTTCTTAAATTATCCCTATAAACACTCTCTCAACTATAATCAAGTAGAAGAGAGAGGGAGGATATTAAGGAAGATGATTATGGTATTTTCAGAAAAAACATATCATATTTCTTATAATCAACTAACTTACCTAACTTCCTTAATCTAATCGAATTAGTTAAATAAGTCTTATATTAAGAACCGGAAGGTTGTAATACACTATTTCACATTTCTTCCTTTCTTTCTTTGTTCTCCTGTGAGCATTGCTTTCCCATGAGCATAACCTATTATGTTTTGTTAAGCAACAGTGAGATTCGGGAAGAATCTCAGTAGTAAACATTATCCAAATGCATGCAAAACAAATTCAAGTGTATGACATGTTTGGTTTCACATACTTTCATGCTCCAAAATAATATCATATTCATACGCTCAACATTACATATATGCATGCCCATGAATTAAACAATGCATATAGAAACATTTAAGCATTCATAATTTTAAATCATTATCAAACATCATCAACACACAAGCATATATGTCAAGCATTCAAAAGGGTAACTTCACTACCTTGTATGTTTTAAGTTTTCCTCTTGCTCCATTTGCTTCCAATATTGAGGTAACCTGTTCAGCCTTTGCTATTCCTCTTCATTGATGTCTCATGATCCTAAATAAATTAGCACATCATTACCATTTATTCATTAGAGCCATGGTAACCAACAGTGTCAACAATTTGTTTTCTTTGAACTATATCAACATCTAACTTCTGAGCTTGATTTTCAACTTTTCTAAACTTAATTTCACATACTATTCCTGCACAATTTTTCATGTAGAATCCATTTTTAGGCTCAAAATAAACAAAATCCAGTTCTTTCCTATGAACAAGCCTTGGCCGAAACTATAGGGTGTTAAGGCAAAATTTTCATTTTCAGTTCTAATGCTTTCAAACTTACTTTCTCACCTTTACGTCACACAATTTTTCATTCTAAACATATTGGAAGCATCAAAATCATCAAAATCCAACCCTATCTTAAACCCCAAGTGTCACACCTTACTTATATAGTACCTTAGCAGTCATTTAGAACCATTCCAAACCACTTGGATGGTCTTAAACTTAAAAATTTTAATTTGGACGTTAATTTTTGGAAAATTACTGTTCACTGTCCAGTTTTCATATTACAGGTCCAACTTTGAAAAATTATAACTAATTCTAGAAAAATCGTATGGAGGTGTTTCAAAATTCTACAGAAAGCTCTTTCAATGCTCTTTAAGGGAAAAATATTCAACTGAACTCATCCTCATTTAAAACGTACAGTTTATTGGATTAAGATTACTATTCGTTTGGTAAAATCTGGACTTTCCAGATTCTGCGCCTTAACTTTGAAAATTCATATCTCTTTGTATACACATCCAAATGAGGTGATTTACCACTCATTTTAAAGCTTGGGATGTGCACTAGAGGTATACCAAATTTAGTAACTTAACTCATTCATATGATAAGTCAAATTGAAGTTTGAAACTAACTGCTCCATGACCTACGTTTTATCCCTTAACATCTCTTTACTTTAATTCTTTTTATTTCTTTGGCATACCTAACATTGGCTTACTTTTTCCCATTCATGCTCATACATTCCTATACACACCATAAGCTTTATAATTAAATACATGGCATTCACAACATAAGTCATAACATAGGAGAATTATACATTGAATAATAATATCAATCATTAGCATCAATAACTCTCCACTTCTTCTCCTTGCTTCTCATGCCATTAGTGCCCACCATTGATTGACCTAAATGGTTGGTTAGGGAGGGGGTGAGATTCGGGGGAATCTCAGTAGCAAACAATACCATATTAATCATGCTAAATGGATGCTCATGCACTACACGCAACTTGTTTATTCTCTTGTTAATTAGTGACATACTAGCATGCTCAAAGCTAACTTCTTGATGCATGGCCATGGAGACATAATCTACTCATCATGAATAGCAATTACAGCAGCTAAAACATGTCACAATAACATTCAATAACATGTACACGGCAACACACAAGCATACCACATCAAGTAATGACAATAGGTAAGTTCACTACCTTGCACCTCAAGCCTTCCTCTTACTTTTCCTTTGACTCCCTTGACTTTCCAACCATGTTAGCTTTCAGTCAACATCATCAAACATCCTCTTGGATGTTCCAAAGGTCCTAAACATAGTCATAATGATCATACAATCTATTAGGACCACTAAATTACATAAAGTTCAAAGCTAGCTCTCTTGAACCTCAACCCTTTCTCTTAGTCTTAGGGTTTTCTTTCTAGCTTTTCTAACATAAATCTCATCATTTCCCATCCTTATGATCTATTTCTTGTCAATTAGGACCACTTTAGATGGCCTTAAATTCAAGAAGATCAAATCTAGAAATTTTGGTTCGCGGGTACTGTTCACGCAGAATCTCCAGAATTTTTGCTCAACTTTGAAAATTCATAATTAGTTCTAGAAAAATCAAAATTGAGTGCTTCCAAGTCTCACTGAAAGCTCCTTAAGTTAAATTTGAACAAAAAATAGTTTCAAGAACCAATTCTATGCTGAACAGCACCGGAATTGTACGGAAATCGACACTCTTCTAAAATTTCAACACTGTTTCCAGATTTCAATCTCTAATTTTGAAAAATCACCATAAATCGTACACATATCCAAATGGAGTGTTCTACCCATGGATTTAAAGCTCACAGAATGTACTTTAAGCATGAAAAATTTCAGAATCAGATATGAATAGTAACTAATTCGAAATAGGCATCAAATCAGATGCTACAATCACCACATACCTTGATCTTGAAGCTTGAACTTAGGTGGACTTTCTCTCACTAGAAATAGCTCTTTCTCTCTCTAGATGCAAGAGTGGCAGATATTCCCCTATAGATCCTTGCTTGGCTGAAAATGAAGGGGAGGGAATGCCTATTTATAGCCAAAGATTTGGCTTGAATGGACCAAAATACCCTTGGTGGCTAATAGAAAGGGTAAGGGTAATTTTGGAACTTCAAGTTGACTTTTACATCATCTTCGCATCATCTTCTTGCATCATGCTTACCTCAACCTTCTAGAAGATGCCAAGTGTCATAAAAGTGGTGGAGGAGATGGGAGATTAGATCCTAGCCGTTGGATCAAACTTAATTCCTCCGAATTTACTTGGCCCACGTTTCTCCGGCTTTCTTTATGGCCTTTCAGAGCTCAGAAAATTCTTTTGTCTGCTCCATAAATTCCCTTTAATTCTAGAGAATATCTATGAATTTTCTTAGGCCATAACACTTCCTTAAAACCTTGCATAAAAATTCATTTACTAAAATGCCCTCTTATCGGCATAACCGGCTTTTTAATTTATTAAAGCCACTCCACTGGCCTTTTGGTTGCGGGACTAATTTTATAAATTAGTACAACCTTTCAACCATTTAACCTCATTTTTGTATACATTTTTGAGGTCTTTTGCTATTTTAAATAATTACCTCAAATGGTATACTTTTTACCGGTAATAACCTCATAAATTCCATTGAAGCTGCTTCAGGGGTATTTTCGTTTTTTCTCTTCATAGAAGAGCCTTAGAATATTATTTTCCATTTTCTAGGATTTTCTTGGAATTCTCTGTGTACTCTTCCCTTTTTACCTCTGTTGGTCATAACTTTCTGGATTTACAATTTAGTCCCTACTTGGACTTAGCTTCATACAATCCTCTCTTTGAGGTTTCTAACTTAACCTTTGGCCTGTGTCTAGCCTCTTTTCTCTCTCTGGGCCTTCAAGACTTTACTAAAGACTCTAACTTTGATTACACTTTAGCCCCTTAAAACTTTTACTTTGCAGTTTTAGTCCCTGAACTACTTTGCCTTCCTTTCTCATCTTTGGGACTTCTGCTCAAAAGGAGTCTTGTAGCCTATCCAATTCAGGCTATTTCTAGTACTTCTAGGCCCAAAAGTTTGGATGTTACACCAAATCTGGTCAAAATTCACACAAAGTTAAGGGGAAGTTTCTTGCAAACTCATCACAAAACCACTTGATTCAAACTTGTTTCTACCTCTTGATCATTAAGCTAATGTAAATCCAATCTTTTCCTAACTAGAATAGATTTGAATAGCAAGCTCAACAAGGGTTTTCATCCTCTTAAACTCAACAAAATCCATACCCAAGTTTAACAACAATTAAGGTACCAAAAACTACATCAAAGATTATAATCATACCTTGTTTTGGAGTTTGAACTTGCATAGAATCACTTGGCTTCCTCTCTTCCTTCTTCTCTCTTTCTCTAGAATTCATTTTGCAAGAGTTTTCTCATTGTTTCCATAAGCTTGGACGAAAATGAGGGGAGGGGGGTATTTATAGACTTCATGAACAAATCCTAACCATTAATCTTAAAATTGTAAGATTAAATCTTGACCATTCATTTTGCCTCTTAATCTTGTGATGACATGTGTCCTTATAACATCATGCTTGCATCATCTTGATGATGTCATGCTTACATCATGTGCCATGTGTCTCTCTTTTATTTTATCTTTCATGTCAACCGTACATACAATACCTTCTGTTCCCATCTAATTGTACATATAATCTCTTACATGTTCTTTCATCATTTTGACATTAAAATAGGGAGAAATTAATAGGAAATTCATGCAAAATGTAGTCCCTAGGTATTCATTCACCTATCTTGCTATTTTGCACTGTATCGGGAACTTTTTCAGGTTTTGATTTACCCTATACCACTGGGACATGTTCTGGCATCCTTTCCTCATTTCAAATAAATCCACATATGACGCCATCTCAGATGACCATAGAGTAAAATAGTTAGCTCCACTGACAAGCTACTTATCCTCACTGAGTCACGTAGTAGAGATTTTGCTGTACCAAGTAGATAGAGGATTGTCTAAAATATACTCACATTGCGTTCTGATTTTTTTTATTGTCCATAAATATCACCTAGTGACTTAGCACGCTGACTCAGAAGTGTCATAATTGTATCATAAATATACTTGGCAACTCACCATACTGACTCAGTGCTATATTAAATGCGTCATTATTACCTTTAGATATTTTCTGTGATTTTTTCTCCTATTTAGGGAACAAAATTTATTTAATATTTGATTAGACCATTTTATTTAATCCAAAACTCCAAAAATTCATCTATTTATACCATAAAATTTCTTAAATTCTGAAAAAAAAAATTTGCAAATTTTCTCGAGTCATAACATCATCTGTAAATATTTATTTTTTAATTTCCTGTAAAATGACCTTAAATGGCATAACTGGATTTTAAATATTCTTAAAGTCGTTTTGTTTTGTAGGCCTTTTAGGAATGAGACTAATTTTATAATTTTCTGCAGCCTCTTAACTTCTGAATCCTCATTTTTACTTACTTTTCAGAGATCTCTCTATAACTCAAATAATTAAATCTAACTTTATATCTCAAAATGAGTCATAATCTTTAAAATTCAATTAAAGCTAATTCAAGGGTATCTTTATCATTTTTAACCTCAAATAAGGGTCAGAATCTCATTTTTTATTTTATGGGAATTTTCTGAAATTTCTGGGCTTATTTTCCAATATTGCCCTTTTATGTTCGAAATTTCTCAAGTTTGCGATTTAGTCCCTATTCAAACTCAACCTCAAGAATCATTCCTTTGAGGTCTTTAGCACAACCTCTGGTCCACATTCATCTCCATTTCTCATTTCAAGGTTTTAAGATTTTGCTAGAATCTCTAACTTTATTCATATTTTAATCTCAGAACTTCCTTACTTTGCAGTTTAGTCCCTGAAAATCTTATTATTTCTATTTCATTTTTCTGGGACTCCTGCTGTATGGATACAGTAGCATGTCCTTTTTAGACTAATTCTGGTACTTACTTCTAGGCCCAGAGTTTGAGATGTTACACTAACAATGTCTCATTATTAGGTTCACTGTAATTTTTATCTCATTTAATTTTTTTTTATATATATTTTAATAGTATTTAAATGTTTCAAAATAATACATTTTTCTTTTTAAAAAATTCAAATTATATATTCTAACAAAAATTAGTACTTGGGAAGCTGTAAAAGTGCTTCTCAAAAGCTTTTTTTCGCAAATCGAGACAAACTCCTTCATATATTTACTTCGTACAACGTAAAAATCATTTTTAAAACCATAATTTTATTTCTATCCAAACACCCCTTTAAGAACAGTTCACTTAACTTTATGCAAGCCCAGCTCAAAAAAAAAAAAACCTTTATGCAAGCCATAATAAATAAAAAAAACGAAACAAAAGGATAAATATCCATTTAGTCCCCCGTATTCCTATAAACATAGGCACATGAATCATCAAAGTATCAAGCAATCAAACAAACAAGCAAAAATATGTCCACTAATTCCGTCATCAATTATTCTATCTTTTTCCTTTCTTTCTTCTTCCTCATCTTAAACCTCTTTCTCAGAAAACGGAGATTAAGACATATCCCACCAGGCCCTCCTTCTATTCCCATACTCGAAAATCTCCACCAGCTCAAGAAACCACTCCACCATCACTTTCATCGTGTTTCCCAAAACTATGGTCAAATCTTTTGGCTCTGATTTAGCTCTCGTTTAGTCGTGGTCGTTTCGTCACCATCCCTAGTTCAAGAATGCTTCAGCAAAAACGACGTCGTTCTCGCCAACCACCCACCGTTTCTCACAGGAAAACACGTCGGCTACAACTATACCACCGTCGCCTTCGCCCCGTACGGCGACCACTGGCGCAACCTCCACCGCATCATGGTCCTCGATGTCCTCTCAACCCACTGTCTTAATTATTTCCTGGACATACGAAGAGATGAGATGAAACGGCTCGTTCAAAAATTAGCTTATGATTCTCGTAAGGGTTTTACGAAGGTATAACTAAGATCCAGATTTTCCGAGCTGACTTTTAACACTATGATGAGAATGATTTGTGGGAAGAGGTACTGGGGAGAAGATGGCAAAGTTGGGGATGTGGAAGAAGCAAAGAAGTTCAGAGAGATGATGTGACTCGTAAATAGTACTACATCTAACATTTAATATAAAAACTAGTTAACTAATTTAAATAATTTAAAAAGTTTGTTAAGTTAGTTATTTATAATAAATAAATATTATTTTTCATGTTAATCATTTGTATTAACTAAAACTACTATTTGATAGAATATTTAAGATATGTAAAAGGCTATTTTGAAAAAAAAAAGATGAATATAAGAGACAAAGTAAATTAAGGTATGATATTTAGTATCAAATTGAATGTCAAAATAACTTTAATATAAAAAAACAGAATTCCCCATAGCTTTATAGGTGATTCTAGCTCATTATAGAAGATATGGTACGTAGTTGGGACATCTGCAAATTGATGTTGACACCGACGTAAGCCATATCAGATATCACGGGGTCCATACTCGAGTACAAGTCAACCAGTTCAAAATCACACAAAATATTCATATCCAAGAGTTCAAAAGCATAGCTATACCATTCCAACTCTTTCAAAACAGTTATCCGCAAGTTGGCTTTCATAAAACAAAGGGAAAATTTTAGTTAAAGACTGCTATAGCCAGTTTATTTCAAACAACTTTTTTATAATTATGAAATATCATTGCAGCACAAAAAAGGCCAAATGAAATAAATTCAAGAAGCAAAATACACTATTGCCCCTCATAATACTTTTTCCTGAATTTTGAAAATAAAGGTCAAAATTCATTGATTAGAAAGTCTTCCCTCTCCCGCTTTGCGAACTGGCTCCCATTGTGTGAAAACTCTTCCCTCTCCCGTTTTGCAAATGTGCTCCCACTGTGCGAAAACTCTTCCCTCTCCTAATCTGTGAAAACTGTTAGATGTGCCCACCAAAAAAATCCATCGCCATCATTCTGCGGATGCTTGGTAGTTGCTATAACCAAAAGAAGAAGAGACGAGGCCAATAGAGGAGGAAACTTACAAGGCTATCGATAAAGAAGGAAGAAGAAGGGGGAGAAGAAGATACTGAAACCCTTTGGTAAGCCTCCTAGTCTACATTAAATGTTCTATATTTCTTCGATTGGGTTTATTTGGTAGTGAGATAGGCAAGTGGAAGCTTGTATATTAAGGAAGAAGGATAGACTGAAATGTCAGAGTGTTTGGTAATCACATTTGGGTTTTAACCGAAAAATGGTTACCAATGTCTCACATAGTGTTCATCCATCACCCTTTTAGCAAATCCTCCTGATTTTGTGAGTGCCAGTGCAGCTTTTAGACCACAGAGAGGAATAGATTTGAGAGCAAGGTTGCAAACAAAGGTTCACGAGTTTGTGTGTGGGCTAAGTATGAATTTATTATTAACGGGGTTATTAGTTTTGGTAGTTAACAATATTGTTATACTATTTGTAGGCATTTTGCAGGAATTAAAAAAAAGAATTAGGAGGAGCAAATGTTGTCGTATGGACTGGAAAAATAGGTGGGTTTCATGTAACACGTTGATTTTTGGAATCTGATATTTAGTAGGCTAACAATGAAAGTTAGGCAATTTACATAAAGAATTAGTTAATTAATCATTTGTATATAACAATTTTATGTTTGTTGGAATCTGATACTTGGTGGCCTTATAAAGAAAGTTAGACAATTTACATGAAGAATTAGTTAATTAACCACTTGTATATAACAATTTCATGTTTGTTGCAATATGATATTTAGTGACTAACAAAGAAAGTTAGACAATTTACATAAAAAATTAGTTAATTAACCACTTATATATAACAATATTATGTCTTGTCCTATAACAAGTAAAGTTGAGAAATTAACAATAACAATTAATGTATTTACAAGTTTGAGGTTTATGTAAAAAAAAAAAATGTTGGATGGTATGAATTTTGAAGTGTTGTTTAGTCTAGTAATTAATGACTTTGTAATTATTGTGCAAAAGCTTAAGAAGATGGCAAAAAAGGAAACAAAAGTTAGCGCATGGAAAGTATTCACTAGTGAATTTTGGGAACAAAAGAAAGAGGAGATGCATGGAATGGGAACAATCACAAATGCGGCTTCAACAAAATGGAATAAAATGAGTGATGCTGATAGGGATTCATGCAAGAAAAAGGAGCAACAGCTTATAAAAGAGAAGAAGAAGAAGAAATATGTCTTCCTATCTTCTACTCAATGCTCCCCCACTAAATTCAACTAAGTGGCTAAATTTATGAATGGGAAAGAAAATTTGAAATGCAAAATAGAAGAAATGAGGTTTGGGCATCTTCTTAGTATTACTTTGAATAAGATCCCTAAATATTTATGTTTGGAGTTGATT